TAATGAAGAGTCACGCTTTTGTCAGAAGCGTAGCACCTAGATTTTTGTCATATAAATCTCACAGCGAAATTTCGCCATCGAATGAGCCCAAATTTTCACATTATTTGTATTTCCTTTTCGCACCGACTCTTGTGTACCGCGATAAATATCTCAGGTAAAGATATTTCATAATTTCTTTGAAAAAAAATAATAAGCTTTTAATTATACCAAAGGGATAAGCTACGTAATTATTAATTAAAATTTACCTTGTTACTTAACAATAATGGCTTTATATGGCTTTAGAAAAATTTCCAAATTCGTTCGCGAAATATACAAACAATATGCCCTAATCCTCAATCCGTTGATAAAGCTTTAAGTTTCATCGTGATATTTAAAAGATAATATAATAATACTACCATGTTGGCTGTATTAAATTGAGAGACTTTAAAAAAAAGTCTATTTGAGATAATTTTTTTTTTTTTTAGAACAGAAAGAGTTAGGTGGATGGTTGTAATTCGTAATTTAGTGGAATTTGGCCTAACGATTTTCTATCTCACCTTTATCTGGGAAAGTCTGGTATCACCGGTCTATTGCATATTTGGCACACAATATCTGGATCAAATGTGGTTTATCAAGAATATCATCAAGACTAATATCTCTGGCATTCTCTATCTTGTCACTATCAATTATCTCCTGTTTCACACATGGATGAACGCTTGGGCGGAAATGCTGCAGTTTGCCGACCGACAGTTTTATAAAGTGAATATATTTTTTCAATAATCTACCTCACAATAATTACACGTAGAATACTCAAATATATTACACATAATATATCGTACTATTATAGCTTTAGTGTACATAATATTATACAAGAATCTATGCCTTTATCCTTATATAAGGATAACGCAATTAGAAGTTTGCAGCTTTAAAATTACCCGAAAGCATTTTGCTAGAGATAGATGTGAATTATTGGAATACAAATCAAATTGAATCGAATCAATTTTTTTTATATAAATATAATTTTTTTATTCACATATTACTTTTCAACTGACAATTATTAGGTGTACAACTTTGCTTCCGCCGTTTTTTTTTCCGAAATTCGAGGCTTTATTGTAAAAAACTGGTTATACATTTATGATTCAAAGTATTGTCCATCGCTGGCCACTACTTTCTCCCATTTTTCGGGTAGCGTACGAATCCCGCGTCGAAAAAACTGGTCATCTTTTGAAGCTATCCACGAATCGATCCAATTTTTTACTTCTTCATAAGACCGGAAGTGCTGGTCAGCCAGGCCGTGTGCCATTGATCGAAACAAGTGATAGTCAGAGAGTGCAACGTCTGGAGAATACGGCGGGTGGGGTAGGACTTCCCATTTCAACGTTTCCAAGTATGTCTTGATCACTTTCGCAACATAGAGTCGAGCATTGTCATGCTGCAAAATCACTTTATCGTGTCACTCATTGTATTGCGGCCGTTTGTCTTTCAATGCTCGGCTCAAACGCATCAATTGCGTTCGATACCGATCGCCTGTGATTGTTTCAGTCGGTTTTAACAGTTCATAATACACTACGCCGAGCTGGTCCACCAAATACAGAGCTTGGATGTCAAAATCACCGTTCTTGAAGCGTTGAAACCACTTACGACACGTTCTTTCACTAATAGCGGCCTAGGTATTTGAGAGCATTCAATGAACCTCAGCCGCAGATTTCTTCATATTGAAGCAAAAAATTAAAACCTCCCGCAAATGACGAGAATTTGACTCGTAAACTGACATTTTCAATCGAGAATAACTTTATGATGCAGACACAAATCGACTAATGTTTTTATGGGGTTATGTTGACAGATGCCCAAATTTATTGTATGACGTCTATGATCTATTTATTTCGACCACCACTTACCGCTAAAGCCATCTATTGGAAAACGGCGGAAGCAAAGTTGTACACCTAATATATTATTAAAAAGTAAAAAATTATAATTCAATTCGAATTCGATTCGGATTTGATTCGATATTAAAAAAAAAATGATTCAAAGAAAATCTTGATTCACACATTTTTACATTTTACGTGATAATTTCATGAGAGTAGTAAGGTCCAGAGCCGAATATGCATCTATGCATTAAAGATAACTAATAATATAAATATTATAACGTTTTATAATACATAAACAATATATAAACGTTTTATGTAAATGTCCGGACAGATATATGTCTGGTCGCTAAGACATTTACCTTGCATCTTCACAAAGCAGATATTTTTTTCAAACAAGAAAGATACTGATATGATATGTTCAATTCAATAATTTTCGGAAGCTATTGTAGATTTTTCACTTCTGTAAACTACAGTTTCATGAATTATTGTGTCACTTGTGTTACAGGACTGGTGGAACAGTACGACTTACCACATGTTCTTCCGCACGTGGAACGTGATAGTGCATGATTGGTTGTACACGTACATCTATAGGGACATGTACGAAATCGTGGTGCCATACAACCGCATGTTGTCAGCTACTACTGTATTCTTCATCTCTGCCATCGTCCACGAATACATAGTCACATTTGCACTAGATTTCTTCTATCCTGTAATGTTTACTTTATTTATCACTTTTGGTTTTCCTATGTTCTTGATTCGCAAGACTGTCACCAGCAACCTTCTTATGTGGTCGACTTTGAGCCTTGGCTCCGGTCTCATATTCAGTCTGCAAACGATAGAGTTTTATGCGAGGCAAAACTGTTCGCCTCACCCCAATTACTATGTAGATCTGTTTATACCGCGAAGCTGGAACTGTCAGGAACAATTAATTTCATAGATCCTTCCCATTTGCATAAGCAATGAAATCAAAAAATTAAGATTATTAAAAAATATGATGATATTTTCATTCTGCAGTCAGAAATTACTTTTAAAAACTAATATTAATACAAGTTTGTGTTAAATTGAACAGAGCAAAGATTTGTTTGTTGATACAATTGGCAATAATAGGATTAGTGAGGATTTAGATCCAATTGCTAATAAAAAGTAATTCATTCATTGAAAATGAATCAATCTTAATTTAGTTTTTAAAACCTTTTTTTTACTAAAATGAAAGTAACTTTTTTTCCAAGCCGCTGATAAAAAAATTTGAATTGAGGCAAAAGAGCATCTTTATTGAATCATTGGGTAGAATTTAAATACAATATAGATACACATATGAAGACACATTTTGTGTATCTAAAACTATATCTGAAATACATTCGAATTGGAATATCTGTGACTAAATACAAAATACTACAGTATCTGAACTGTTTTTCAGGTACTATTTCCTGCCTATAGCAAGAAATTTATATTTATATTACTTTTGAAAATTATTTTTGATCTAATTATTACTTGAATTAATGCCTTTGTGAGCCATGCACTGGATCTCGATGTGAAATATTTCCTTTATTTAATCTCTCAAAATCCATATATTTCGATCTTTATTCGGATCGTTTTCAATGTCAGAATTTACATTAGTGAAATCATTGTGTTTCCTGATACACTATACAATAATAAATGAAAACATTACAATATATTACTAATTAAATGCTTAAAGGATTTTTCAATTTAAATAAGGTAATTAGAATATTACTTTAATATTTAAATTGAAAGATTCTTTAATTTGCGAGCAATTTCAGAAGGACTTCTTTTGGAGAGCAATGATTAGCTTTCTTCTAATTATTTATAATTAAATGGACAAAGATTTATCGGATAAAACTGATTTAATTCAATAAAGAATATGAACAAATCAATACAACGATCTTATCATTTCTATGATCGGTATAAAAGTCAACAGTGTATTTGTTTTTTGTAAAGCCGTCGTTAAGAAGTATCGAATGCATCGAGATGGCAACGAATTTAAGAGTAATGCCGAATAGCACAAGTGGCCTAGTGGTGCATCAGTCTCAATGTGAGATTATTATTTCTTACAGTTCGACCAATCCTCACTAACAAGGAAGGTTTTTACATCCGGAATCGATTCTTCATGAAATATATTATAAAATACGAAAATCTAAGAGACACATATTTTTTTTAACTCATGTGCGTTAACTCATGTTTAAGAGGTGAAACACTCCTTTGAAAAAACGATATTTTTCTTTCAAGAATCGTCGGAAGTATAAAAGATAGAAAAAAATTTTTTAAATAAAAAGTTGGTTTCAAGAATACATTATATGGCAAACCGTTTTACTTTTTAATAACATAAAAGAAATTTATTCTTCCAATGTTAAATTCTTAAAAAATAATTGTCTTAAAAAAATTACGATTTTTAATAATGAATTAAAATTATGTCATAACATAATATTTCCATGAATTAAAATTAAGTCAAGGCATAATAGAAATTGCGAATTTCTATTATGTCGTGACATAATAATTGCGAATTTCTATTATGTCCCGACATAATAAAAATACGAAAATTTCATTCTGGCCATAAAATAATTCTGAATTTTTATTATGTCGCGAAACAATTTTAATTCATGGAATTATTATTATGTCACGATATAATTTTCATTTATTATTAAATATCGTAATTTTTTCGAGATAATTATTTTAAGAATTTAACATTAGACTAAATTTCTTTTATTTCTCTCCTAAAAAATAAAATAACTTTCCATAATTTTCTGCTGTTAAAAAATAAACGATTTGCCATTTATTTAGTACTCGTACTGATAATATTAAAAACACAAATTTTATGTAACGACTTAAAATTATGTCGCGACATAATAATAATTCGAAGAATTAAAATTATGTCGCGATAGTAATATATGGGTAGCCATGGGGCATCAAAACAAATCTTCTTCACATTTCCCTCCGGCATCGTGGCCTAGACGAGTCAGTCTGAAAAACGGGCGCGCTCTGATTGGTCGAGGAATGAAAGGTGAGGATAATAAGGTAATTAAAGAGTATGTTCTGATTGGTTCGCACTGTACCTATCCACGATGATTGAAGAAAGGAGGTGATAGAGGACCTCTGACAAAAGAGAGTAAAGTCCGAAAAAATGATGAATGGAGATTGGGACTGTAATATTTTTGTCTCAAGGGCAGAGTACGAACATCGGGCATGAATCGGATAATTTTATGACGGTCACTTTTGTTGGCGCGGCACAATATTTCCGATGTGTTGATGTTTTAATGAATGTTTTTTATTTATGAGATCTTATACGAAAATTTACGAGTAGGGAGCTCTCACTAGAAGAAAAAAAGAATTTATGAGTAGGGGGCTACTTACTAGAAGAAAAAAGGAAGATAAAACAGAAATGAACATGTTCAACTGGCGCGACGTCTTCGATTACTTTAAAAAAATTCTTTCTATATTTTATGTACATTATCTAAGTCTGTAATACGAAAGAAAATGTACCTATTGTAAATGAGGATGGGGGTAGGAGTAAGAAACAGGCAATATTTACAAGTTTAAAACGTTTATTTAAAAGAGATATTACATGAGATAATTATTTTATCTTTTTGAAAGAGTATACGTTTAAACATGACGGCATACAACATGAGAATTTACGAATTTATATTTACAATGAAGAAAAATTTTATTAAATAACTGTACGATCAATCGGTCATTTCGCTTACAATCAAAGGTAAACAAATTAAGAAAGAAAACTAGTTAAGATTATAGGCATTACACATAAAATATAGAAATACACAGCAATATTGTCTACACAAATCTATTGTCATACAAGTTTGAGAAAGTATTCCTTGTAATGTTCTATGATTTCGAAACGCGAGGAATGGACGTGTGAAGAAACCGAAAACGTACAAATTCCGACGTTCCGACTCTTTGCGTCGCACAACAAATTTGTGAAACATATGCGGGGATAGAGAATATGTCAGTGCAATATCGTTGGTGCGGAATGCGCAAGTTTATATTTCGAAATAATCAGGTTAAACAATTTGTTAATCTCGTAACGTGAACAGCAAAATGTTTCAAAAAGATCATTTATATAATACATAATGCGAAAGCGATCGACGCGCAATTCATTTTGAAATATTTAGTCGAAAACTCGAAAATTCTTTATCAGAAATAAATAAAAAATTCTGAAAATTTTTCCTAATATTCTTTAGACTTATAAAATGCTATAAATAACATTAAAATGTTATCGTTTAAATTTATTTTGCAATAAATATATATATATATATATATTCAT